GGACCGTACACACGTCCAAATTTTGAACGAAGAATATAAAAAAATCTTTCAAAATTTGTTGTCTTTATGCGGCGACGACTTTTCCACCGCTCGTTTGTTGGCCATGTCCAGCGTTGCCAGCTGTGGGTGGTTGAGATCGTGGCCTAACACCTCTGTGGGCACCAGGCTTGACGACGAGTCTGTGAGATTTGCCATTGGCTTCAGACTTGGCCTGGTCATTCAAAATAAATACACGTGCCGATGTGGCGCTGGGGCAGACGAGTTTGGGCACCACGGTTTGGTTTGTCGCCTGGGTGGGGCCATCAACTACGTCACTCAGCGCTAAACGAATACATTTGTCGACTCTTCTCCAAGGCTTCAATCCCGGTTCTCAAGGAACCATCCGGCATTTCTGCGCATGGTGGTAGGCGCCTGGACGGACGCACACTAATACCTTGGAGAGCCGGCAGATGTTTGGCGTGGGATGTTACGGTCCCTGGCACCCTTGCCGAACGATATGTAAACTTGACAAGTAAAGAATGCGGTTTGGCCGCGGCCAGGGCAGCGGATGAGAAAATGAAAAAATATGGGAACGCCCACCCCTCGATGGAATTCTTGCCAATATGTATCGAGGTTCTTAAATTTCTTAAAGCAATATGTAAAATGATCAGCGTCAGATCAGGCGACAGCAGGGAACTGTTTTTCGCAACTAAACACATTTCGTACTTGTTGCAGCGGTTCCTGCGTGTCTGTGTGCTTGAAAATATCCAACTGAATGCCGACATGTGCAATTAACGACAAATCAACGTATTAATCCATATGTTACTTGATGTTTGACTGTTCAGTGTCACTCATCATGTTTTGGTTTTAACATACATACATACATACATACATATATACATACATACATACATACATACATACATACATACATACATACATACATACATACATACATACATACATACATACATACATACATACATACATACATACATACATACATACATACGTATGGCGTATGTATGTATGTAGGGAAAAATGGCGTCTAAAGGTAATTTGTCGGTGAATGAAGTTTTATATTTTTTGATAAATAACTTAAAATTACTTCAAAATGACGTGTTTATTTCAAATGTTGTTGATTTTTACACTTCCGACGATATTACTACTGCATTAAAAAGTTTAAAAAATGATTTAGAATTTGTTAAAAATGAAAAGTTTGCAAACATAGAAAAAAATTCTGCGAAAAGCAATAAAAAAGAGGACAAAATGCTTGGTATTGTTACAATTATCTTGCAATTAAACAAAAACAATTTATTGGAATCTCTACCAACCTACGTAAGTGTTAATTTTTCTAAAATTCCCAGTATGAATAATATATTAAATGTAAATTTCAATAAAATTAAAATGGAAATTAAAGAAATATTGTACAAGCAAGAGTTGTACATAGCGAAACTATTAGAAAATATGAATATAAACTATGTAAACTATCTTGCCAGCAAACCGACCAGCGCACCTGAATATCATACGCTGGAAATTGTCCCAACAACTAAGCAGACTAAACAAAAGCATTTTAATGACAACAGAGTTAACAACAACAATTTCAGCAGCAACAACAGCGGCGACAACAACGGCAGAAACAACACTACTCTATGGGCAGATGTTGTGAGAACTCCAACTGAAAATATCGACCAACCATTCACAGTTGTTCAGTCAAAAAAACGACCAAGATTAAACATCACTCCAGAGATGGTTGAACGAAGTAACGTCAATAGTGGAAGCATCATAAAATCTGCTACAGAGAATATGATGGAAAAACCAGTTAGGAAAATAATTGGTAACAAGAAAAATGACGAATTATGCAAAATTAAAGCTAATAAAATGCTCATAAAAAAATCATTTTTTTCAATGAGCAATGTTCAAAAGTGCCACAGAAACGATGTTATGGAATATTTAAAATCCATTGATATAAATGTCATTTCATGTTTTCCAGTACTGAAACGCACAGATTCTCCCGCCAATGAAAGTCCAAACAACGACGATTGCGAGTCTACGATGTTCAGGGTATGCGTTGAAAGTAGCGATGCTGCTAAGATGAAAAATCCGGACGTTATTTTGCAACATATCATCGTCAAAGAATGGAGGTTCAACCCCAAAAAACCGATGACAAAAACAACAACAAACATGAAGAATGATGTTCCTAATAACCTTTATCTCAATATGAAAGATGATGAACAATGGCCAATTTATCTTCATCTGATAGATGGCACCTGACAATAATGAAGTTAAACCTGGTCGGCTTGATGATGTTGATCCTGATAGTAATTTGTTGAATGATTTAAATAATGTGTGTTCTTTTTTACCTCCGGATAAGGTTTATGCATTTATTAATCCGAATTCTTTTTCTGTTTTTCACATTAACATTCGAAGTATGTTTAACAAAATGACTGAATTGAATATTTTGCTTGATTATTGTGGTGGTAATTTTGATTTGGTAGCTGTGAGTGAAACTTGGTTATGTGATCAGACTTTTAATTAATTTGCCTAATTTTAATTTTGTATCTAAAAATCGCATAGGTAACCTAGGTGGTGGTGTTGGTTTATTTATTAAAAGTCATTTAAATTATGTTGTTCGGGATGATTTATTATCTTATTCTCCTACTTTTGAGTTATTAATAGTTGAAGTGTTTTCAAATATTAGCTGTAATTATTTGTTTATTGTTATGTATCGTCCTCCTTCTACTGATGTTAATGTATTTTTGAATGATTTAAAATCTTTACTCATAAATATTAATCCTGGTTTATTTAAATATATTTACATTATCGGTGACTTCAACATTAACTTATTTTGTGACGATTATAAACATATATCCACTGTATTCATCAATTCTTAAAGCTTCTTTGGTTTTAATTCTTTGATTACGACTGCAACACGTGTTACTACTACTAATTCATCTTTGTTAGACAACATTTTCACTAACAACATTTCTTTTCATAAATCTGGTGTTATTTTTTCCTCAATGTCAGACCACTTTCCTATATTTACTTCTTTTCATTCTCCTGTTATTAATATACCCAACTTATATATTCCTTCCTTTAATTATAATTTTTATAACATTGATAAACTAAATTTACATCTTAAGTATTATGATTGGAGTTTAGTTTTGAATTGCTCTCAGACCGATGAAGCTTTTGAATTATTTATTGGCATCATAAAAAATGCTGTAATTAAATGCTGTAGTATCTCTCGAAAAAAAACTCTTAAAAAAAAGCCTTGGATCACAAAGGGTTTAATTACTTCATCGGTAACAAAAAATAAATTATATAAAATTTACCTAAGTTCAGGCTCGCCGTCGGATAGATTGGTATACACCAAATATAAAAACACTTTTCTAAAGTTATGTAAATTATCCGAATTTTCTTATTTTAACAACCAATTCACTAAATGCAAATCAAACAGTAGACTAACCTGGAAACTTCTTAAATCATGTCTAGGGTTAAAGCATTCATCACCTCTTAATATTATTGTCAATGATCAAATTATCAATGATGATTTCTTATTATGTAATCATTTTAATAATCATTTTTCGTCTTTAAACAACCAAAATGTTTCAAATTCATCTGATCCTAAATGTAACTTTAAAAAATTTTTTTCTCCTAGTATCTCAAATTCTTTCGTCTTGTTTGAATGTCTGCCATTTGAAATTATTGATGTTGTAAAAAATTTTGATAACACATATAGTTGTGGTAATGATTTTATTTCAAACTTTTTATTAAAAAATATTTTTCAAAGTGTCTTATTTCCGTTGCTTCATTTAGTTAATTTATCTTTTAAAACTGGTCACTTCCCTAATTGTCTGAAAATTTCTAAAGTGCTGCCTTTATTTAAATCTGGTGACCGTCATTCTATTAATAATTATCGCCCTATCTCTGTTCTTTCTAGTTTGTCAAAATTAATTGAAAAAATTATTTTAAATCGTCTTAATAAATTTTTAAATTATCATAATATTATTTGTTTAAATCAATATGGTTTTCGTGAAAAGTTGTCAACTGAGTTTGCTGTTTCAGACGTTATTAATTTTGTTTCTCATGCACTCGAATCTAAAAAATACTCTATTGGGGTTTTTATAGATCTTTGCAAGGCTTTTGACTCTTTAGATCACAGTATTTTATTGTACAAGTTATATTCATTTGGTATTCGTGGTTTAGCTTATAATTGGTTCTCTTCATATTTAAATGATCGCTCTCAATTTGTTTCTATTGGTAGTTCCATGTCTTCGTTGTCTCCTATTAAATCGGGTGTTCCTCAAGGTTCTATTTTGGGCCCTTTACTTTTTAATATTTATATTAATGATTTTGTTTACTCTTCCAACATTTTAAAATTTATTTTATTTGCTGATGACACTACTCTTCTCTATTCTCACTCGGATTTTAATGTACTTGTTTCGGTAATTAACTACGAACTAAATTTTGTTTACGATTGGGTTGTCTCAAATAATCTACGTATCAATTTAAGTAAAACATGTTTTATATTATTTGGTCCTAAAATTAGAACAGATATTGTTTATCCAGTTATATATTTAAATAATATTACTATTGAAAGGGTTGAGTCATTTAAATTTTTGGGAGTTATTTTGTCTTCTAACTTATCTTGGTTGAATCATATCAAACATATCTCCTGTAAACTGTCTAAAAACTTGGGTCTTATTTATCGATTGAGGTTTAAATTTCCTAGATTTATTTTATCAACTTTATATAACTCTCTTATTCTTCCTTATTTGACTTATTGTGTTTCTGTTTGGGGTGGTACATCTAAATCAAACCTTCATATTTTAACTCTAGCTCAAAATTTTTTTCTTCGCATTCTGTTTAAATTAAAGAGATTTGACCATGTAAGTTCATACTATAAAACAGCAAATATCCTTACCATAAACCAACTACACATTATTTATCTATTACTATCTTTTTTTAAAATATATAAATTAAATTATTGTCAATCTCTTAAAGATCAGATTAATTTATTTAAAAATACTAGGCAAAATTGTTTACGTTCTAATTCTGAATTTTACTTTTTGAAACCTAGAACAAATTTTTTCCTCAACTCCGTCTTATATATCTCTATGCGTCTTTGGAATTTATTACCGATGACTACTAAAAATTCTTCTTCCCTTGCTCTATTTAGAAAATCTATCTATTTGCTCATTCAGTCTAATTATTTCAACCATGTCCTCTGTTAATGCGATTGTTTTCCGTTATGTACTTTATATTTATTCAATTTTAAGAAAGTTTATTAATACTTAAATAATTTAATTAATCTTATTTTTTCTTATTTATAGAACTATCATTATTTCATTGTGAAATATGAACATTTCTTTTCAATTTATAATTTTTGGTGTAAATTTTATGGTGGCCCAACAAGTCATATCTTCGGGTCTCCTAGCTTTTTGCTGAATAAACTCATTATTGAATCAAATCAAATCAAATCACTTTTATTCAATCAAACAAAACAAAAGCATGAATGATTCGGAGACCAAAAAAAGAAAATTAATTCTTGTGGGCTCGGCCACCGTGCAGCTCANAATTGCTTCTCAATGATAAAATAAAATTGTCAATAGG